TTCCCTCCCCGAGGCCTTTTTCAATGCCCTAATTCATTTCTATTCTGAGGCACGTTGGGTCTCAAAAGCCATCGGAGTTTACAAGATCATGCGCTCTTCCAGATCCGCCGCCCAGCCGACCACACGTACCTTCCATCTTCTCTTTAACGCTATTCTGGGCCACCGTGGTGCGAACTCCTACATCCACCATCTATACATGGACGCCCTCCGCTCCCTATTTCGTCAGATGGTAGGGTCTGGTGTCGCACCTGACATATACGCCCTCAACGCCATGATCAAAGGGTATGTATTGTCCCTTCACCTCAACGACGCCCTTCGTATATTTCACCAGATGGTTCCAATCTATGGTGTAGTGCCGGATGAACATACCTACAGCTATTTGGTGCACGGGCTCTGTTCGCAGGGGAGAACGCGGAACGCTAAGGAACTCTATGTGGAAATGAGAGAGAAGCGGTTGGTTCCGACCACAAGGGCTTGTAATTCGCTCGTGAGTGTCTTATCAATGGCTGGTGAGGTGGAGGAGGCGGAGGCTGTTATGTGGGAGGGGGTTGGAATGGGGCGGTGCCCGGACTTCATTACTTGCAGAACGGTGGTGGAGGAGATTTGCCGGCAAGGAAGGGCGGGTGATGCTGTAGTGCTGCTGAGGGAGATGAGACAGAAGGAAGTGATTGATGGGCGGTTCTACAAGGAGCTTCTTGCTGGACTGGGAGAGGAATATCGGGATTATTGGGATCAAAATTAAGTTGCTGCCGTAAAAGATTGATGGTGAGCCATCTTGTTTTTATTGGAATGTCAGCTAAAATTAGTTGAAGAAATAAATGGGTTCTTTGGCTACAGGTAGCCAAAGAACATACTTGACATGATATATATGCTAAATTTTGTTAAGTCATAGTAATTGTTGACATATTGTTAAGCGTTAGGATTGAAATGAAGAGGATAAAGCTGCATAGTGGGAAATGGTGTAGATCTCTTAAACAATTCCTTTTTGTTTACTTATCTAACACCTAAATTTCAATTTTTACATGCATACCACCTTACCTATGCATGAAAAGTGTGTATTTTACTTCTTAAAAGTTAAAAAGGTGGTATATTTTATTTGATATGAAAGATTTGGATGATATATGTTGAGTAATGTGGGGACCCGGTCCACCGAATTTAATTAGCTTCATAATTAAGTATCTCTTCTATCGCTCACCTACCACACCCACCTACCGCTCACCTACCACATCCCACCTACCGCTCACCTACCTCCCACTTACCACTCTCATGATTTCTATAAATAGTCTCTTTTGATTTAAAAACAAGCCAAACCAAGCCAAGTAAAGCCAAGCAAGGCCAAACCAAGTTCTCTCGAGAGCTGAGAGAAAGAGAGGAAGAAAGAGAGAGAGAGAGAGGAAATGAGAGAAGAAAATAGAGATTTTCTTGTAAACGTCTAGACGCTCGACGGTGTAATTCCTCGAAGAAATAAAATCCTCTGCAGCTTCGTGGGCATAGTCAAATTTGTCGAACCACGTAAATCTGTGTATCGCTCTGCTGTTTTTTTGCGTGCAATTTTACTCGTTATATTTTTCGCTTTATTGCCGTCGTTTTTCACAACAATATAAATGTAAAAAATAAGATTTAGTTATTTGTGTGTAAATTCATAATAATTGGGTGATATGTATGTAAATGCGCCCTTTTTTTTAATGAGTACACAACTCTGCACTTATTTTTTAAAATTATTATTATTATTACTATTGTTATTATTATTATTGCTGCTGAGTAGGGTCAAATTTGCAAATTTTAGAGGTTGGTGGAGATTCATAGCAAATTTTTTTCGAACTTGATGAAACCGGCAGTGTAGAGATTTTTCACCTTCCAGTATGGACAAGTTGCTCATACCAATGTCAGTTATCCTATTAGTTGAGGAGAAGATTGTTTACTCTGCATCTCTCTATTGTTTCGGGAGGAATGCTAGAAATTCAAATGATAAAATAGCCGTTATCATCCAGTCTTCACTTCTGCTGCTAACTCCGTTGGTTTCTTATTCTTACAGAATAGGATCAACGGTCCATATATGCTCCAGTGGCCTCTTGAAGCGGAGGAGCTTCACTACAGCCTCTGTGAAAGGTACATTTTTTCAGTATTTATTTGTAAGATTTACATACATGCCTTTCAATTACTATGTTCTTACATATCTAACATTTAAACTTCAATTTTTATATACATATCATGTTACGCATGCATGGTGTTATTTTTTATGTGGGATGAAAATTTTGGGCGGTATGAATGTAAAAAATTAGAGTTTAGATGGCATTTAAACTTCAATTTTTATATACATATCATGTTATGCATGAATGGTGGTATTTTTTATGTCAGATGAAAATTTTGGGCTGTATGAATGTAAAAAATTAGAGTTTAGATGCTAGATATGTAAATAAATAGCACACATATCTTATGTATTTACATATTTCACTTCTAAACTTTTATATTGACACACATATCTATTGTTGTTCTTTAAAATGAAATACACACATTTGCATGCTTAGATTTAAAACACCAAATAGTCTGTATGTAAATATGAAAGTTTAGATGTGATATATGTAAATACATTAGAATTGTGTGCTATGATTGTAGTTTTACCAAAAAAGATTGGATCAGAATGTTATGATGTAGTATGTGAAGATTGCATCTGGCTTGCAGTACATTCTGTATACAGAGTAAAGCGTCAAAAAAATTCTGAAAATTTCAGTTTCAGAATCTATAAAAAATTTCAGATAATTCTCAGGTCTTATTTTAATGCGGGGATTATGTCAACAAATATTTAAAGTTTCTAACTATAAAATTTATAATTTTTATCCCATATTTGATATTTAAATGTTTATGTTTATTTATATGATATTTTGATGTCTAAATCATATTAAAAATACCATTAATGTTAGGGGCTGATACTTGAATTATGGTATTTACATACATAATACTTTAATATATATGCTTGAAAATATATCTCACTTTTAAAAAATGTTAGAGATTTGTGCATTTTAAATAGATAATAATTATGTAATATGCATGTAAATGAGAAAATGACAATATAGTACTCTGAACATTTATATGAGGTTGTTTTAGTCTCAGAGTTTATAAAATTGCTAAAATAGTATTTATTGGGGAACTAATGTAATATATATTAAAATAACTTGGGGACTAAATTGATATTTTTATAAATTTTGGGACTAAAATAACTCTATAAAGAGTCTGGGACCATTTTGACACTTGCATGCTAATAATTGAAAGTTAAATTGAAGATGATGAACAAACCGCTAAGAGGAGCGGCACTAATGGATCCGTGGAAGCCTGCAAGCTTTGTACAGGACGTGCAAAGGGCGAGGCCCTCAATCACTAGACTGATATTTACGTTAGATGACCACTTTGGTGGCACCGCCGGCGGCGCAGCCAGAGATGCCGGTGAATGTTGTAAGAGATAGTGCAGTGCAAAAAGTAGAGAAGAAAGAATGTTGTTTTGATTTGAAATGGATGTTGAAAGTAAGGGGGAGATTTATAGGTGGAAATTGTCATTGTTTATTTTGTTTTAGTGTATGTTATTAGTAGAAAGGGGCATTCACTACATAAATACCACAATTTCTATGTAATTCTATACCTACCAACTAATCTTTGCTTAATCTGGGAAATTTATATACATACCACAAAATTCTCATTTGTTTTCGTGTCTAACAGCTAATGTTTGATATTTATATTTATAGCATCTTGGTATACATGAATAGGGATGTCAAAGCGGCTTGTTGTTCGCGAACAGCTCGTGTTCGGCTCATTCGCTAAGTTAACGAGCGTTAACGAGCCGAACACGAACAAAGATTTGTTCGTTCGTGTTCGGCTCGAAATACTATTCATCAATTACGCGCACACACACACTATAGTATTTTTTTTTGAAATTAATTGACTACAATACTACAAAGAATTATTATCAATTAAAAGTATTAATTAAAAAAATAGAATAAGCATTATTAAATTAGATTTCAAATATGTTTTAATATAAATAATAATATTTAAATCTTGTCCCAATGCTTAACATTTTATGGCTACGTGATAAGGGTTGTCGAAACGATTCTTTATTCGTGAACGACTCGTGTTTGGTTTGCTAAGCAACGAGCCGAACACGAACACATTTTTTGAGCTCGAAATATAAATGTGCCGAACACGAGTTGAGCTCGGGCTCACTTGTGTTCGGCTTGTTTACACCTATACCTTTTACTTTTAAAAAGATAATGATGGTCATACTTTAAATATAATATTGAATGGTATTGATATAAACAAAGGCAGGTTACATCCAGGCTACGTAAATGTAAAAGAAAAGTTTAGGTGGCAGATATATAAATACATAAGAATTGGTGGCATGCATGTAAAAAGACTGAAAAAAAAAAAATGAGGATAATTTTAATCCAAAAATTTACAAAAAAGTACCAAAATAGTGCCCTTGAATGCAAACATTAAATGATAAAAATCTCATTGAGAAGAGCCTCATCACCTTAGGGTTGATGCTCTTCTTAACTAGCAACTGTTAACCGCATCGTAATACAGAATTTCTTTTCACATATCAACTTTGCTCTTCTTAACTAGCAACTGTTAACCGCATCGTAACTTATTTAACAATGAAGCTTTGAGCTATTCCTATCTGTGTATTTGGTTGGAAATTGCATCCATTATTACTAATGTGTTGTCTACTAAATTTATCATTTGACACGTATCACAAGGCATTCGACAAGAAAGTTGAGGCAATTTTTAACAAGTATTTCGATTCAAATTAAAAAAATCATTCAAAACTTCGATTTCAATAAACGTATGGTCAAAATTGACAGTTTCAATGATATAAATCAATGGTAGCAAATTCAATCTAATTGAGTCAAATTAAGTCCGGATCAAGTTATTAATATCTTAAGAAACTTTGGTCGGTGATTTGGAGGGTTAAATGAATTTCAAATTTGACCTGTCTATAGTCAAACCTAGCAATAAGCTTGAGGAAATGTAATAAATACAAATTAGGTGATAATAATGCTTACTAAACTCATGACCCCATCTCTATCAAATCAATATACAATATATCTAATCTTGACAGTGAATGCAAGCCGCCTAAACCTAGTGATTAAGAGCTTATCTTTCAACCAATAGGTTGTGAGTTCAATGCCTTACATATGTGGTGTGCATGTATTTGGATGTGCGTATTAAAAAAAAAAAGTCACAATAGCAATTGACATACTGTATGAAAAATTAAAAGCAAATGCTAACAGACTAATGTAATGTATTCAGTCAAATTATCAAAAAAAATACTAACAATAATAAATATTTCCACAACACCCAAGTTGGAAAAACTCAGCCTGTCAGAACAGTTGTGCATCGGCTTTCAGGATCTCCTCGATTAACCTTAACAAACGCACTAACATTATAAAAATACAAAAGATATGTTTGTTATTCGAAGTGCCCAATAACTTCAGAAGAACTCCATTAATACCAGCAAAGCAGCAGTTACCTTGTCCCCTTGTAAGCAAAAGAAAACAGAGCATCCACACAATAGTTTAACTTTAAGGAGAAAACTACTTCCACAATTTTCTGAGGGACATGTTCTTTTCAGTCTCCTTCTTCATGACTTTGGCCACCGCCATCTCAAAATCCTCCTGCGTAACGTGCACTCTCCTCTCTCTCAGGGCAAACATACCTGCTTCTGTGCAGACAGCCTGACACACGAAATTCAAATTAATATATCCATACAAATATCATGCAATTATGCAGTGTTCCTAATCTCTTGCTCAAAAGAGACCTAGTCAAAAAAGAAAGGACAATTTACATCAATACCACTCGATTCTGATGTTAAATTTCAATTTTTACTGGTCTATGCAACAAAAGATGTATTTCTCTTCTCAAAAGTTAAAATGGTGTAATTTTTTATGTGATGAGGAAAAATGTAAAGTTTAGGTGGTAGATATGTAAATATCTAAGAATTGGGGGGCATGCATATAACAGCAAAGGATAGAAAATAAGAAAAAATAAAAAATAAGGAACAGTTAAGCAGCAAAAACACTGATCCCCACTGACATAAGGTCCCAAAGGCACCTGCATTAAGTTTTCGCGTGCATATGTTGACAGAGTCAACATGCCAGCTTATAATATTAGGGGGACTTGGGTACAAACCACATAGCTCATATCTATTTATATAACACTTCAATCTTCAAATTTACTAATAAAACACCCTACTGTAAAAATCACATCAAAACACATCAAAGCAAAAAATGTAATTTGTTGTAGATAAACTAATATTAGTGATATTTTTATGACATAAAAGATTATGGTGCTATACAACAACAACAACGTCTTAATCCCACTATGTGGGGTCAGCTACATGAATCCTTTTTCTCCATTGCGTCCTATTTAGTGCCATATTTTCATTTAGTTCTAAATAAATTAAAATCATTTTTTATACAATAAACCCAAGTATTTCTAGGTCTACCTCTGCCTTTCTTAACATAAGTCGAATCTAAAACATCTACTCTCCTAATCAGGTCATCAGATGGTCGACGTTTAATGTGACCAAACCATCTAAAATGACTCTCTAAATTTTGTCCGTCACTGGAGCTACACCAACCCTATTTGATATGCAAATAAGTAAGTGTTCAATGTTATGTTCGTAAATCTGCCATAACAATAATGGCTAAACAAGTTCAAAAGGATATTTGCACCACATGCATGCCAGTATGTGAATGTAATTGCCCAAAACCATAAAGTTTTGATTGGTTCGCCTAAAGAAATGAGCCACTCAATTATTTTTTGATCTTAATGTTTTAGATAATATAGCAGCACTCTATTATAATGCGGAAGAGGAGAACATGAATGATACCTTGAGCTCCGCACCAGAAGCACCATTCATTTTCTCAGCAATTTTCTTTAGATCAATTCCACGCATCAAGTTCATCTTCCTTGAATGAATTTTCAGAATATCCCAGCGGGACTGAAAAAATCTCAGGCAAAGTTAGTATTTCATTGCATTTCATCAGATATTGAGCTTAAAGAACTATATGAAGATTGATTAAATTAGGCACATCAAAGGAGAGCAATTCCAAAATTAAGAAACGCGCCTCTTCGTTGGGGTTAGGAAACTCAATTTTTCTATCGATACGACCAGGCCTGAGCAGAGCTTGATCCAAAATATCAATCCTATTAGTGGCCATAAGAACCTGTCGAATACAATGTTCAAATAATTTGTGTGATTCACTGAAGTTTCAAAATTAATTTGAACAAAGTCAGAGATGGTTACTTTTATCTTATTTGAAGCTTCAAATCCATCCAATTGATTGAGAAGTTCGAGCATAGTCCTCTGCACCTCACTGTCCCCATTGCCAGATCCAGATTCCATTCTAGCAGAACCAATACTATCAATTTCATCCATGAAGATGATCGAAGGAGCATGTTCCCTGTAATTAGTAGGTAAACCATTCAAATGTCAACATTTATATATTCATAAAGATTTAGTTGTCCTTAAACAAGATAAAAGAGGGAGTTTTGGGAAGAACCGTGGAGTTTGAACTCAATATTGGAATCTAATTGCATCCAAACAAATCATCATACCTTTAGCTAAATTGATCTTCCAGTTACTTTCATTTGAACCAAATAACTAATATGAAATTATGAAGTAAATCAAATATGGATTCCAAATAATTCCCTCAAACAAAACAGATCCATAATGCTCCAACTAATGGTATGATCATGACAACGTTGTTTAAATTATAATTGCAGCACTGCAGGCCTTTCATTGCACGCAGTTTTTTTTTTTTTTTCTTTTTTCCTTGTAATGAATACAAGCTCAGACCATATTTTAGCTTATACTAAAAACCAAAACAAAAACATCCTTAAAGTAGCATATAACTAAATCAGAAAATTGAAGAACTAGAACCCAACACCTTTCTGTAATTCACCCATCTTACAGCTATATGTCGACGAGATAACAAATTTTCAGTATATCCCGATCCTGAAATGCTAAGGAGCTGTTTGGGATCACTTTTGATTTTTATTTTCTATTTTTTATTTTTATTTTATTTTTAATTCAAATAAAACATATTTGGTATGTTATAACATGTTTAGTTGTACTTAAAAACATACAAAACAATCTTTAGTGAGTTTTAAATATTTTTAAAAGCAAGCTAATTTTCTTTTGAAAACAAAAAATTTAAAAAATGCAAAAAATGAACTAAGCAAAAACATTAAAAAAAAAAAAAGGGACCCCAAAAAACCCCTGAAAATTGTTTGCTTTTGTCTAGGGGCATTC